AAGGCGGAAGTGTTCGCCCGATACTCGGTGTTTATCTCCCAGGGCGTGGAGGATGGTGTGGCTGAAGCCACCCTTGGCAAGTATATAAAAGAAATATTCCCCAACGCGGCCACTCGTCGGACTGGAGCAAGGGGTAGTTCCCAATACTGTTATGAGGGCATCCAGTGGGCGGATGCGCCTCCTCCTTCACCTCAACGACAACAACGCGATTGGGGGAAATTCTCGCCCGCCTCAAAACCACCACGCCCACTCTACGAAGGGTCCCCCGGGGTGCGAGGAGACCGGTTGCACAGTGCCTCGCCAACATTCTCAAGGGGGTGGTGGATTCGGGCGACGAAGAGAGCTGGGGAAAGTTGCTCCTCTTCCCCTACGCCACGCTCCCCGTCCCACAGAAGTCCGACCGTGTCAAAAATTTGACCACCTGGGTCAAGGCTCGTACGGCGGAATGGGAGGCCGGGTTTTCCGTCCCCCGATCCCTACCGCCACGCTCACCGTCGAATAAAGCGCCGCGCGACATGACGGCGAAGAAAGTTGAAGCTAAGCTGGCGGATGGTGACATTCGGGGTGCCATCCGCCTCGCTATCTCGGACGACACAATTGCCCCCAACGACGGAGACACGGTCGCCGCACTTTTGGTCAAGCATCCTTTTATCTTGATCTGCAAAAACTCTGATCTTGCCCACCTCTGCCCTTTGAGTTTGAATTTTATGAGTTATGGTTATGAGTTATGAGTTTATGGTTATGAGTAAAAGACAAAATTAGTTAATGTTATGATTAAGTTAGAATTTTGACATATTTTTTTAGGATAATTTAAATAGTATGTGGAGTTAATTTCAATCCCGGATGATTTTTTAAATCCCGGGATTTTTTCCCGAAATTCAAATATTACCTGATAACTTGATATTAGTCAAATTGGAATATACAAAAAGGTATATGTCTGTGTATATTTATCTTTGTGTGTTCAAAAGGCACAGAGCAGGAGCATATTTATAATACTCGCATACGTACTTATGTGTTTTCGGGATCTGGGCATGCACAAGTATTATTATTGTAAAAAAAAATATTATGCAAATCATTTACGGCTCCTTCATGGGCCCGAGCGGCCCTAAAGAGGGAACAATAAATCAATCAATCAATAAGTATTATTATAAAGTATGGAATTTTCTACCCGACTCGCTATATACATATGTATGACAGCATTAGCAATATAAATAGCGATTTTATTATTCTGCCTGCTATGGTAAATATAGAATTTGGGCTTATTGTGGTAGCCCAAATTTTCGTCTTCTATATTGGGCATTGGAGAGGTGATTTTGATAATTTTAATTGATTTGATTTAATTTTGATAAAAATTTTGATAATTATGAACTGTATAAATTACGTTTGTAATTTGAACTAAATAGCGAACCATTGTTCAAAAGCTAAAGTTGAACATGGAATTTGCCAATCCAAAAATTTCAAATTCAAATACATGAACTACCTCGTCCAAAAAGCCTTTCATTCAGTCTTAAATTGATCGACTAAAATTCGAAATTACTTCTAGCATGTTTGACATGAGCATTTTTGAGCATAACTGATTTCACATTCCATTATTATACGGAGAACAAGGCTGATTTGTTCGTTTAACTTATACTAACATTGGAATTAGAAATTCCTATCGTGTTTTGTTAAAAAGTTTGCTCGCGAATTAGACTAAACATGTTACTTTTAAACATCTAAACATGTGACGTTAAAAAATTTGATTTCCGAGTTTAATGTAAATTTTGACTATAAATGTTAATCGAAGCTTCTAGTAATATACCAGAAAAACTACATAAAACCGTTAAATAACAGTGATTTTAAATGCTGAAAGACAAATCGGAAAATCCCGAAATACCGGGATTTCAATTTTCAATTCCCGGGATTTCGGGATCCGTATTCCCGGGATTTCCTGGGAATATAAACCCGAAAAATGAATTTTTATAATATTCAAGGAACTAATTCTGAGCAAAAATTGGGCTTAACTTTTAAAATCGGGTTAAAATTCGAAAAGTTACATCGTTTTTAACAATCCGGATTTTGGCTGAATTTTTTTTTGGAAATCCGCCACGGGCGTAAACATGCCCATTCAGGAAAAAGAAAAACTACGGGTAAACTTATTTTTGAGTAATTAATTCTTTTCTATAATTTTAACCAATTCTTTTCTATAATTCTGGATTCCACTCAAGACATTACCAGAAAAGAACAAGTTAGCATTGTTGTCAGGAGCTGCTCAGAAACATTTGAAATCACTGAAACGTTCCTCAGATTTTATGAATTGGATGGACAAAATTCTGCCGCCTACTATGATCGTCTTAATAAGATTTTGCAAGAAAATAATATTGACATTTTCAAGTGCCGTGGTCAGGGATACGATGGCGCCAGTGTCATGAGTGGAGCCTACATTGGATTGCAGGCGAAAATTTCTCAAAGAGTTAAAAATGCATTCTACGCTCACTATGCCGCCCATAATTTGAATTTCGTTATTTTTGATGCTGCAAATTCCTCTGCTATTATGAAAACGTTCTTCGAAACGATACATAAGGTATTTAACTATTTTACGAGCAGTGGAATAAGATGGAAGAATATAGGATTCATTAATAAAGAGGGCAACCCAAAGACTTTGAAGACATTATGTCCTACCCGGTGGGAGTCACATCATGATTCAATTCATACTTTACTATTCAAATATGAATTCGTACTGAAGGAGTTAACCAATATTTCCCTCATCAGTACAGAGACAGAAGAAAGAAACTAAGCCATGTCAATCAGGAAAAATATAACAAAATTCTAGTTCATCTTGTCGCTTGTTTTTTTGGAGAAAATTCTTATAAGTTGCAATGTCGTATCAAAATTTCTACAGTCCCCAAAATCGGATTTATCATCGGCGGCAAAGCTTTAAATGGATGCATATCAGAGCTTGTCGAAATAAAGCAAAATTATGATACCGTTAAATTAATGGCGAAGCATTTGGCGTCAGCGTGCGGACTCTCGTGTGAATTTCAGACGCAAAGAAGGCGATTTCGAAAAACTCATTTTGACGATCGACAAAAACCTCGAGGTGTGCGAAACTTCATATGAGAAGACGGTGTTCAATCCAGTTTGTGGGACCATTATTAACAGCATCGTCTGCCGATTTAACGGCCTTCCGAAAGTCCTGGATATTTTTGGGTTCATAAATCCAGATGTAATATTTGATAAAAAGCAGGAAAACTACGCCTTGAAGTGCGCTCAAGGTTTCTGCATCTCGCACGAGTCGGATGTTTCGTCTGATTTACCAAGACAGGTGCAGGCATTCTCGTCGGCTTTTCGAAGCGAAGCTGAGAATCTTACATCAGTGGATTTAATAGCGAGAAGATTACTGGAAACAGGACTTGAAGATTCGTTTCTTGATATTATAACCGTTTGCAGGCTGTTTTTGACTTTACCCATCACGGTTGCAACTGCTGAACGGTCTTTTTCCAAGCTTAAGCTTATCAAAAATTACCTTCGATCTGCAATGGGCCAAGAACGTCTGAGTGGAATATCCATCCTAAATATCGAGCAGGAGCGGAAAGATCTCATCAACATTAAGGAATTGGTCCACGAGTTTTCAAGAAAGAAAGCTCGAAGAGTAAAATTTTAGTCTTGGTTAATAGTCCATAATTGGTCTTAATCAAAAATTTGGCTGAACTAAACTTAATTGATTCACATTAACAGATTATAATTAAATGTGAAATACTTGATTTGAAAATTTCCATTTTATATTTACGTTAATATTTGATACCTAAAACTAGTCGTAAGTACTGTTAACTAAACAATTAAAAAAAAGAAAAAACGAGACTTATTCGTTAACCTCTTTGACAGTACTCATTTTTTAATAAAATTTCACTTCTAAACAATTTTGATTTGATTATAATATTTGATTATTATTATTATTATTAATTATACCCGATAGCAACCGATTAACATTTTCCACGAGTTTGCAGTATTCGAGTTTTTGACGAAAAACACGAAAATCCACTTTTTAGAATTGGTCGGTACAGGGAAAATTCACAAATTTTAGGAGAAAAGTATCGAAAAAAATCTGCTTTTCACCATCGAGTTTTCCACAAAATACCGAAGAAATATTCTTTTTTTAAAGAAATTTTGGTGCCAAGGAAATTTTTGCAGTACAGACATTTGTGTATTTCGTAGTCAACGGAAAAATAAAATACGACACAAATTTGCGTATTTCGCCGTGGACGGAAAATACAATAATAACACAAATGTGTGTACTTCGTCGTCAAGGTGTTAAAGCTCCACATTCCAAAATCCATAAAAATCGATAAAAAATAGGCCCCCAAATCCAGCTCACGTATCGGCCCCGAATCTATAGTTCCGCTAGTGATATGCATAATGTGAAGTTGGAAGTTGCACTACCCACACTGCTCTAACCTACAGACCAATTATCACGAAGTCACGACCCCGACTCATTTAATTTTGCAAGGTATCATGCAAAATTTAGCAGATTTTCCCGACCACCATTTTGGCACGATCGGGTCCACGTCAGCACCCACCACAATTACATTGCAAAGTACCAAGCTTCCCCTTATTGGAATTGAATATCACGAAAATGAATTTCATTATTATTATTATGAAACATAATATTCAATTTTCAAAAAAAAATTCGCATGTTTTCGTGAACCATTTCTGCATTTCATCGCGTATAATTAATAAATATATACACCCAAATCAATGACTAATACAAATTACGTCGCAATAAATGACGTCAAGCTGTACATTTGTTGTAATTATTTATATACGCGGAGCATCCTGTGTAGATTAAATCCAGGTAAACGAAACAGTATACACATTGGCGTTGTTATCAGGGCATAAATGAGAACAACCAAAACAATTATCTCTCTACGCCACGATTACATTTATTGATACACAGTATATGAAATATGCATGTATGATAAATCCTCGTAGTGTGAATAATTACCAGACATCCAGCTCACCTAAATCTACACAAAACTTAGCGTAAACGATTTATCACGACTGTTTCAACCAAAATAGTTCGAAAGTACACCTAAATCGTCCACCGTCAGTTAAACATTTGTTGAATAATTGGAAATAAATAAGTTTCTGGAATTTTGTAACATGGAAATGGTCTCGTACAAACCTAGTGGAGAAATGCATATGGTTGAAAACGATCCAAGGATCTCAAATCCATCTTCCACACCTCCTAAAAGTTATCAGGTAGATGTGAAGACTTTGGAAGACAGCTTTGTCTTCTCCACGGCCACTATTCGTCAAGGATTCGTCCGGTAAATAAAGTAATAATTAATTTAAATTATTGACTATAAGAGGTTTAATTTTGGTTTAATTTTCAGAAAAGTGTTTTCCATTCTCCTACTCCAAATCGTGACGACTTTTGGGGTGGTTACGCTAGTGACGTTTTCAGACAGTGTCAGAGATGCGCTACGTAATTTGACATTCATTTACGTATCAATCCCGTCGGTGATTTTGGACCTTTGCTTGATCATCTTCATCCTGGTGAAGCCAGAGCGGATGAAAACCACTCCGATAAATTATATCGGATTACTGGTCGTGACCATGGCAACTACGTTTCCGATAGGGGTGGGAACGTCTTATGTGGAGTAAGTGTAGTGGGAATTTACATATGTTAAGTTAAGATGAGTGTTTCGCCTAGTTTTAAATCATCCTGGACAGGACACTGTCCAAGAGTGGTTTTGGACAACAATTCAAATGTGTCTAAAAGTGTTCAAAATGTGAAAAAGTGTCTAAATTGAAAAATGGGGCAAACTGTTACAATTCATGTTGCCACATTGGTTAGTTTTGGGCACTTTTGGACATTTTGGACACTTTAGGACATTTTGGGCACTGGCCATGCCCAAAACGAAGCAATGTTTAAAATCAAGTCGTCTAAAAGTGTTCAAAATGTCGAAAAGTGACCAAAATTGAAAAATGGGTCAAATTGCTACAACTCATATTGCCCCATTGGTTACTTGTGGGCACTTTTGGACATTTTGGATACTGGCCATGTCTAAAACGAAGCACTGCTTAAAATGAAGTCTTACTTTATCACACTAATCTCTGTTTTGTGCCCACTTTGTAGGATAAAATACGCCGTACTCTTCCCGACCGGACTCATCGTGACTAGCACGTTGTCAGTGCTCCTATTTTGTCTACAATCTCGGAAAGAATTGTCCTGCTTGTCTGGTTTCCTGATCTCCACGCTATCCCTCGTACTAACTGCGGTCCTTCTTTTCTTCGCTTTTCGTGTAGAAAATGTAGAAAAGGAGAGAGAAATGGGTACCATCCTAGGTGTTGCGGTCGTAATGACGATACTTTTGGAAATGTTGTGGATCGGTCTAATTCGTGGAATTATATTTGGGGATAAAAATAGATATGGGACACGATGTTCCGAAGAAGATTACATTTTGGCTGCAGTGCTGCTTTATGTGGTGGTAATTTTAATCTTTTTGGTTATCCTGCTCATAATCCTGCTCATTGTGGGGTCAGGAAAAGGTGGTTCGAATACTTGTGCTGGTTGTGGGAGTTGTGGATGTCATGGGGGTTGCGGGTTGTGGACTTGCCCGATGTTTGGGAGAACGAGAGCGTGTAATGAACAACGACGGGAGGGTTGCGTGCCGGGTGAGAATGGAGGTGTTTCATAAATAAAATTTGGTTATTTATTGTACTAGTCTTTAGAGCCCGGCTAGTGGGGGCTGTCGAATAAACAAAATAATAAGAATGCGAGTCCCTTTCATCAAAAAATCAACAATATTTTTGATAAAAACTCATAAGCTACGGTTGTATTTAAGGACACAATTAATTTCGGTAACTTCATGTGTTATTTAGTATATTCGTATTATGACTGGCGACACCCCTCGTGATGGGTGTGGTTTGAAAATCTCACTATTCTGTGTGGATTACACTTACAATGCATTTCAATTTGCCGAGGAAACAAGTAGAACGGCTATTTTTTTTACCAATTTACATAATTCGGATCCTTTGTAATAGCTACTGATCCATTTTGTATAAGAAAATGAAATCTTGAATAAACAGCGAAGAAATTGCCGCGCTTTCGAATTTCAAAATTTACCAGTTGAACCAAAATTGTCTTTAATGCCCATACCATATGTGCTTATAGGGCTGGGAATTCAGTCTAGTGGTTAGAGCATCCATCTCTTTCCACAATTGGTGTCCAGTTCGAAAGAGGGTGGAGGCTGGAGTTTTTGGTATAATCACCGATTAGCGTACTGGAAAAGATGTCTGCTTGGGGATAGACAGCGCCTTGATTAGGCAAATGCCCCGTATGAAAATGATCTGGCAAGTTGTGAATAATATTCCATAACAGGGTCGCATAAAGCATTTGACACAAGATTTTGTCACTTTGTGCACAACTCCATATCTAAAATTGTATGCATAATTTTTTCTGAATACTTATGCACAAACATTACGTCCAATAATTTGTGCATAAAATTTGGTGTCACTTTATGCAGAGATATGTGTCCAAACTTTTGTGTATAATTTGCTGTGTGCACAATTTTTATACTAATTCTAATTACGAGATTAATTTTTAGAGAAACATCACAACAATATTTTAACGAAGTCAAGTATATCTTTTATTCCAATTCTACTGAATTTATAAGTTCCGTTGCAATACATAGAAAGCCATTATTGTCATATTGACACAAAAACTTACATTTTTCTATATCATAACATGAAATAAATCTAACATTATTGCTAATATTAATTATTTTGCACGATTTAGGGGAATCTTTGCAATCGGTGGTAGTACATTGTTTAACCATTAATAAGGCTTGATCAATTGCAACAATATGAATTAGTTTAAAAATTATATGTAATTTTCCGCTAACTTTAATAATCGAATTTACACGGTGTTTTGTATCACTACTATTTGTGTTATATAAGTTACTGGATATAATACAAGACTTGTAACTGAATCCATCACATTGGTCATATCCTAATTTATTAAGCTTTTTCTTTTCTCTATTGCTAAAAATGTATAACTTTTTCGGACCCAGGAGTGTACAGTTTTGTATTGTAATGGCTATCTTAAAAAACCTTTTGAATTCCAACAATGAATTGTAAAAATTTTTTGCTTCGCTGTTTGAAAATGCAGCATCCCCAAGACTAGTAACTTTTTGTGTACAAATTGTTCTGCTAACAATTTGTGGTCCTACTTCTCTTGTACCACTAAAGCTATTAGTTAAAACGCCATTATAATTTTCAAACTGAAATAAGGAGAATCCCCACAGCGGACCCCAGTTACGAACGCAATTACTCGCATGAGTAAGTAAATGAACGTTAAATGAGCAAAAACTTCTATCATATAAATCAGGCAACACCAAACAAAATTTTTTAAGTAGAATTTCAGACCTAACAATTTCTGCAAGGGTTATGCTATCTTGGCATAAAATAGAAATCGAATCAACTAATAAAGCAAAATGTTTCAAAAAACAATCAGGTAAGATACCCCTTAATAATGTGACCGCAACAAGCATCCAATTCTTCCACTCATGCGCTTTCCAATATTTCAAGTGTTTCAATTCCCTTATGTGTCTACTACATTCGTTGGGAATTTTGCATTGTAATATTTTATTATTAATTACATCCGCTTTTGACCCAATGTAGAAAGGCTTATTGTGATTTTTTGAATCAGTCCAAGCAAAGGTTAGCATACGTACTACTCCTAATAAGACGGTGTGCATGTAATCAAACACAAATCCATCAATTATATTAAAACTTGGCAATTTCAGCAGGCAAGAAGCGGTCTTGATTCCAAAATTATTTGTAGCAGATGATCCATGAAATAATATGTCGCGTAATTGCTTCAAATGCTCAAGAAATGACTCATGATTTCTTAAAGGTGCCGACTCCTTAGGATCAAAGATCCATTTGTGACTTCTTTCAGAAATTTTGTAATTTTCCCCTTTCATTAAACACCATGGGCAGCTAAATTCTCCATTAAATTGGGTTATGCCTTGAATCTGGCATCTTGCAACTGAGTCGGCAGCAAACATAGGGAAAAGTATTCGGCTGGTAACATTAATTCCATTACGTGTCCACTTAATTCCTTCCCTACCTAATATGTTTGCTTGTTCAGTAAGGGGCTGAAGAAATAAATTAAAGTTTGGTTTTTCCACCCCAAACCAAAGCCCAGCTAAAATTGTATGCTTCCTCCTAAGTCGATAATCTAACTCGTTGATCGATAAGAGGAGTGGCCAGATACTGAATCTAGACGAATTAAAAATTGCTACGCCATCCGTATTTACGCAGCATGAAAGGTCGTATTTCTGTAATCTGAGATTTTTGTATGCCAATCCATCTTTAATATCCCGTAGGGTGTCTGCTGCAGAATCCCGGCTCTTAAATGTCTTATCCAAAGAGTCCAAAATAAGTTGTTGTTGCAGTAAGGACTTCATTATGGATCCAATATCGAATGAAATGAAATAACTTCCACATTTTATCGCACCTGAAGATGAAACTTTTTCCTCGCACTTTAAACACTTTCCTTCGACTTCATCGATTATCAGTTGGCACTGTGAACAATATGGTATTTTCTTTGCAGAGTTGTAGTCAGGCCCCAATGACTTGTTGAGTAAGAACACTGACGAAGGTATTAATGCACCATTTGGAAGATGGAAATTTATGAGCGTTAGAAGATCAGACATTGTTGATTTATCAATTTTATGGCGAATTGCAAAAGAGTAAATTAACAGACAGCTTTCCATTGGTGTTATACGAGCTCCTTGGTAGATTGGCTGTTCTGTGTCATTATTTCCCTGTAATTTTGGCATAACATTAAAATTGGCGATCATATTTTTAATAATTTACAATAATTACTTCAGCGTCCGACTCATCGCTCGATATATCACTCGATAAATCACTCTGGTCATCTCGATCCATCGATCCATCGTTCGATCCATCGTTTACTTCGAAATTCTACAACAGTATTTGAGTTCAGTAAATTGTAAATATTATATTCTGGATTAATGATACTAAATTGTAATTACCTGTAATTGAGAAAGTTCTGTAAAAGAGTGGGATAAGTTTTTTGGACATGCACTAGGAGGATCAGCGTTATCCAAATTAATATCAGGATGATTGACATTGCGAACACTCTACAAACAATTTTTTAAATAATTTCAAATTATCAATTTTTGCAACATAAATGTTAAAATTTTTAGTTGACTAACAATTTGTTGCAATCGGTGTGTTGTTCGCTGCGGAATTATGATATCTTGCGAGTTTCCTTCGGTAGGCGATCGAAAGTAATTCTTGTAACTTTTTTTACTTGACATTATGGAAAAAAATGTTTGCCAAAAAATAAAAACACTGATCCGACCTTAAATATAAATAGTACGAAGGTACTAAATTCTGCCCAAATGGAGTGAAAGCGGTAAAAGAGTACGTGAGTAACTGACAAAAGTGTGGTCGGATTATTGAATTTTGGAGATTAATTATTTATTAATTAAATATGGCCTTTTTACTTATTGAGTGGCCCAATGAAACCCCCAAAAAATATTCAGTGGTATCGTCAGAAAAATTGGAGGATGGATCGCTTCGAGGTGATTTAAGAAGTATAATAGGTGATATTGTGCAAATTGTTTGGACCCGTGGAAAAATTTATCCAGGACTGGTGTTAAACATTGGTACATATATTACATATATATTGAAGTCAAATATAACACTACATATAATCTTGTTGGTTAGGAACTGAACATGAGTTATCTGAGGAGGCGGACGAGTTGGCTTTTAATGCTGCCAACTCCCCAGTTAACGAGGTCACGACTGGACGGAAGAGGAAGCATGAGGAACCCAAAAAGGGTATGAAAGATGAATAATTGAATTATTATTATAATGTGATTTAACTGTTAACTTTTGTCAATTTAGTACCCAACAGACGACAACGTGCTGAGACAATAGAAAATATTGTTGAAAATATTCCTCAGCCACTTATTTCTGCTACATCAACCGGAAACATTACAAGCCAAACACAGGAAAATAATAATGATAACTTGGTTACTAATTTTGAAGGTCTGAGTATTTTTATTTTTACTCTTCTTACAAAATAAATGATGACTATTTTTTATTAGACAAATATCGTCGGTTGAAGGAGAAGTATAGAAAACTTAGGACTAAATATCGGGATTTGAAGGAGTCGATTGAGTTGAATCGAACTACTGAGGTACGAGAAGTAAATTATTAAATGCTGACGATTCATTTAATTATTACCATTCTTATGTAGGTTGAATTATACCCAGATAGATACCCAGATAGTAATGTTGTTCTCCCTGCGGCCGATTTGGCCGCGATAAAACTGGGATCAAATAAACCTACAGTGTTAGCAAGAAATCTGTTCCGTCGGTTATTTTCGTCCGATGAATTGTCCCGTCACTCACTTTTTGGGAAAAAGTGCAATGCGAACAAGAATGCAGAGCCATTACCGGTTATCGACACAATCAGGCGTGATGCTATTATTAGTAAGTTTATACACTATTACTGTGAATCTTAAATTACCAAATTATATTTGAATATTAAATTTGTTTTTGTTTTTTAAATTTGTTCTAGGATATGTATTAAAAGAGGAAGGGCTAGATGAACAGCTTAACACTGGGAACGTTGAAGCTGACAAAATATTTCTAAAAACTAAGAAGGCGACCAAGAAGGAAATCGAGAAGTCGCTGTCTCAATTTCTGAGGGAGGAATGCAAAAAATGAGTGGTATTTTCATTTCGTCTAACTTTAATTTAGTCAAGTTGTTTACACAAACGATAACAATAAAAATTTAAAAATGTAGAATTTTTGTGCACAATATACCGTGTAAAATTATTTGTGCATAATTTTCTGTGCATGAAAAGCAGCCAATTTTTACCATAAAATTTTTGTGCAGCAAATATTATGCATAGCGTACTATACATAAATCTTTGTGCATATAAAGCAGCCAATTTTGGACACAAAGATTGTGCACAAGTTACCATAAATTTTCTGCACAAAATCGAAGGAAATTTTCACACAGGGCTGGCTCCCATTTGGATACATACTCCGCCAGTCACAAGACTCTGTTTCCGCTTAAAATCCGTTTCCATACATTTCATTAAAGCCCATCAGCCAAAATGCTGGAATGCTGCGACGAATTTTTGTAAATTATGTTATGCATTCCCTGTCGATAACTCTTTATTTTGTTTATTTATTTGCCTTATGTATACGTGTTTATATTTCTTGAAAATTTGTGAATTCAAAATTTTTTGGGAAAATGCCTTTACAATAAGTCACAATGGCATCCACGAAGATCCGACTGTTCGTCAAGTAATCATTTATTTCACAAATTTAACTCTTTCAGACTACATATTTTTACAAAACGTACATAAGTAGCTTGACAACAAAAAAACATCACGCCCAGATTTTTTAGACTTTGGCCAAAATAGTAGCCAAGTTGGGCCAAAAACCACTTTGTCCTTCAATAACAAATCATTCTTCCTTCAACGCAGGTGAATCTTCTACCCAACCGATATCCATGGGCTCGACAGCATTCCTTCTGTTCGGGTGGAGACCGATTGCAAACTTCGTTACAGGCGTCGACATATGTTCCCTGGGCTTTAACCGTTGTCATGGCAAATGCTGTCCATTAAATTGAAATATCTCATAATTATTATATTTATAAACTTTATTTGCAATTAGTCTTATGGTTCAAAATACGCCCCAATAATGCACACACTGTTAGTGTGACATGTCATTTTAAAATTATAATGAACATACTCACGACAACGTCTTGTTTCGCATCGCAACTCATTTAGCAAACTTGCGAAGATCAAAATATTTGTGTCGTGAGGGGATTCGCAAAATCTGACTTCGCAAATTTCGCATATCTCGCAAATCTACCAAGAATACCTATTTTGACGTTGTTTCCATGGATTTCTGTAATTTCTCTTGCTGGAGATAGTGAGGATGCGTTTGCGAAATAAGTTTGCGAAATAAGAACATGCTCAATTGCTGGGTAAATTTGCGAAAAAAATCCCATGGTTTTCCAGCAAAATTTTTGCGAAATCTCGCACATCTCCGCAAGTTATGTTGCTAAGCTTAATTTGCGAGATATGCGAGATATGCGAAGGTTGACGTGAGTACGCTCAATATAAATTAAATTTGATAAATTCGGTAAAAAGTTAGTAAATGTGGACAAACCTCCTAAAACGAGCAGAGCTGCAAAAAATATGGTCGCCGTCTTCATAATTTCTGTCGGAGTAAGTAAATATGCAGATGAAAAATGTTTCCAATGCGGCTTCTTTTCGAGATATGTAGTACTATGATTATGGCGATTTGCTGCTTTTATATGCATAAAAGGGTTGATAGACATCATTTCCAAGAAATTTGTCAAATTCAATGAATGAGAATCAGGGTTCCGAACAGTGTTTTACGTGTTTTTGTTAGGTCAGGTGTCGGTCTATTGCATATACATATTTGCATATGTACCTACACTCTAAATAAAAATAACTAAAATTTACCCAAGGTTGAGTAAAAAAGAGGATGACACAACAATTGGGTGAAATTTTCACAAACGGTTGGACAAGTTTTACACAATCGTTGGATAAATTTTACACAAGCAACACTGCATTCAACACGGTGTTTTAGAAACCTGGATGAGAATACGTGGTAAACATTAGCATTTTGGTTTTCCAACTTGTAACGTGGTGATGAATAATAAACAAGTTCGTATGAATTGGAAAAAGGTTTTTACACGGTGGAAATAATAGTGTCTGTATTTGTTTACTTGTCGTGCTTTGAAATGCAGTGAAGAGATTTTTACCAGATTAGATTCCCCAGGGTGCATGATGGATTAAAAATGTGTTTAAGTAATTTAATTTAACATTTAACACTATTAAATCATTTAGGTTTTTTTTTATAGAATTTTTAATTTCGTGAGGCGGAAAAGTATTTATCCTTAACTCTTAGAAATGGGGTTACGATTATAACCAAAAAGTAAAAGTATGTGACTCTGCCGCCGTGGTTATAAATTTGTCATCGAGTGGTTACAATTGTCACCGACTAATTATAAAATTTCACCGACTTGGTATTAAATTTTCACCAGAGCTAATAAATTTGTAACCAGTTGGTGACAAATTTATAACCCCGGCGGCAGAGTCATATACGTTTACTTTTTGGTTATAATCGTAACCCTATTTCTAAGAGTGTATGAATTATGTAAATATGTATTTTGCTTTTCATGAAGCAAATACATATGTAATTTGGTTAGCTTTGATTGAGAGACTTATAAATAATTGGGATTGTCACGTCAAAGTTAGTTCGTCGTATAAACTGAGCAAAACAGGAATTGCAGCCAGGGTTCCTAAAGCACTGTGTTAAACGCAGTTTTTAGGGTATAACAACGTGTTTTTTATCTGTGTTTTATTCTTAAATATGGTTGCCTTGCCTACAATTTTATAGGAGAGCAAAAGACTTTGACCCGTTCACTTATTGGACTTGATCAGTGTTTTTTTTGTGCGCACGAAATTATTTTTATGCATACATGGTGCATAAAAATGCACGAAAATGCATAAAAATACCTGAAATCCAATTTATGCAGATAATTTCATATTTTAAATAAATTTTATACTGTGTTTGTACCGTTACGTAATTTATAAACGGCGCCCAAGTATTTATCTTTTTCATTCACTTTCAAAACTTTAGCTCGTTTTTCGTATTGAAAAATTAAAAATTGTTTTGCACTAAAGTGCTAAAACGACGAAGAAGATATCATTCAATAGCACAACGACTTCTCAATTAATCGAATACTTAAAAATATTACCCAGGAAGAACCGAAGTCATATTAACTCTGGATTTTCTATGGGAGGTCTGTAAATAGGCTGGGAATTTATTTTAATGGGTTAACTACAAGATAAAATTCTGATATAATTTCGGGGAACTGCGTGATGGGATTTAAATGACATTTAACTGCGATAAATCAATACAATTACAATACAATTTCCATAATATTTTACACGCCATATATTGCACCCTTATTATTTTTGGGAAAACCAGTCGGTTTTACAGAACAAGGTAAAACCCCAATAATACTTGAGGGTATACCCACGCTTGGTTTGCTTTGGTAATAAATTCTGCGGGTTAGTCTGGGGGTTTCCCCAGCTTCCATTCGTATTTTTTATTGGGTTATTACAGGGTAACTCTTTCATTTCCCCGAGTTTCAATCGAGGTGAACACGCTTATGCGCAAGTTCTTTTTATCTCCTTCCATCTCTCGTATCGTCAGCATCATCTTTGGTATCCTTCAAAATTTAAATATAAATCCTGTCCAGAATCTTAAATTTTTTCTGTAGTAAAATTCCCTGGTGAAAAATGTGTACAACTTGTCACATCTTGTTGAATAAGCCCAAATAAAAATACATGCTAGTGGCCACTAGGGCCTTGCAAAAATATCAGAAGCTTAGCTAAACAAAAGAAACTGCCACCTCCGGACTGGTCAGAAGATGAATTTACAGTCTACAAAACGGTAACTATGTTCCCATTTTCTTTTTTAAATTTCCAAATTCATTTACACAAAAAAAATATAAAATTTTATGTAATTTTGTTTTTTGAAAAAGCTCATTCCGAAGGGTTGAAATTGGAGCAAAGTGCAGTTGACGACCCTGTGCTAAATTCTACAGGTACTGAATCAAGTCGTCATAGCAGTGATGGATCAGACGCTGATTAGTCTTCCGAAGGAGAGTTAAATAAAGGTAAATCGGGAATATTTTTAAACTAATTGAGGATATACCACTTTTTTTGTTTACTCTGGCCAACAGATTCATCACATACATTCCAAAAACTTCTCGTATTTGGATACCAACCATGTTCTTCGTCTTCCTTACTTAAATTCGTTGTTAATTAATTTAAGTTTTAATAATAAATCACATGTTATTTTGTAATGGTTTTCTAAAACAAATAAAATATGAATAAAAATATGGGTTACGAGTTATTGGGAAAGACGTGCATTTTATCGGTACAAAACTACAATTTAAAGCATGAGAAATCCCCTTAATGCAGACGGACAACCCTTCCGTAATATGGTCATAAAATGCTGGGGAAATATCCGGGTTTAAACTTAGTAAAACTTATGGGAAACGTGTGGGCTAAACACGGTAAAAAACTCGGGGTGAGGTGGCCAAAACCATGCATATTTTACCGGAAATAACCCGTAGATAAAATTGGAATATATTATAATCGGTTCTTCCTGGGTAATGGAATATCGATATTAATCGAAAAATTGGATTATTTCAATATTATTTGTACGCAATCGAATTTCGTGCATGTTCATGCACTTTTCCGGATTTTTGATGGGTGTTGTTAAACGTTTAAAACCATTTTCGTGCAGGTGTAATTTAACAGCAAAAACATTGGACTTAATGCGCATATTGGGAGAATATATAAAAATGTCAGTCTGTGTGGAACTCCCAGCTAATTAAGACGAAGTTTATACCCCATCACGAGATGATGATGGGCAGCATATCCCAGAGTAAACAGGGGCCGTGCGCACGAATGTGTGGAAAAATGCGCAATTAATGTGAAACTTACATTTCATCGTAAGCATTTGAAATTTGGCATGCACATGCATCAAAGTGTTGTGCACCACAATATATAATCAGTTTCCGTTCCAATCACGAAAAATTTTTTGCAAAAAATTGAAAAGCAACTGAATTCTCATGATTCGTTATTGGGACCAGTGTTTCTTTTAGTGCGCACGAAATAATTTTTATGCATGCATGGTACATAAAAATGCACAAAAATGCGTAAAAACACATAAAAATGCACAAAAATGCATAAAAATACCTGAAATGCAATTTCGGCAGAGAATTTAAAAAAAAAATTTTTTTTTCATGTTTTTAAGAAATTTTATATTCTACTACCCTGAATGGGGAAGTAAAATTCAGTTATCTATACTTCTATAATGGTTTGAAACCTTGCCACAACACTTTCTAGCGCTAGGCAGAGCTTATGTACTCATCATACATAGTTGCCATCGATTACGCTAGTAAAAATTATCCTATCTATTTGGAATACATAAAATTTTTACTTGAAAATTTTGACCTTTTACATGAAAATTTCAAACAAGGATTTGTTTTTCTATAAAATGCAAGCCGTGTAAAGTGTTAATAAAAAATTGTCGAGTTATAATTTCACCAGCCTTTAGAGACTTTCAGTTCAAATATTAAAATACTAAAATGATGAATAAAATGCCATATTTACAAAACATAGCGATTTCTCAACTATGGGCTAGCAGATATTTAGAAAAATTAAAATATTACAATATTATTTGCACCTAAATCATTTTCGTGCATTTTCATGCACTTTTCCGATTTTTTGATGGGTGTTATTTGACGTTTAAAAACATTTTCGTGCACTAATTTCGTGCAGATGTTATTTAACAGCAGAAACAGCTAATTTCAGCTAACAATTTCAACAGCTAACAGATAAAAAAAGTTATAACTTTTGATTGAAAAATGATTTTCAAGTTCTGTTTTCGCAGGTCTCTTTAATCTGAGTTGGGAAAGTTTTTTGAATTTTGAAAGAATTTTTTCGAGACTTAATTACAATATAAGGGGTTGTATGGGGAGGGTCCCTACTGCGATTAGCAGAATTTGAGATGGAACATTATGTGGTTGCATATTTAATAACCTAAGAGTGTTTAAAAAAGTATTTAGCGTATGACAATGTATTGTCCTTACAATACACGTTGGCAGAAAGGAATTATATAATTTAAGTAATAATATTTAAATTCATGCACCAATAAACTCTGACTAACTGGGCCAGTAGGTCCTTATAACGGAAGATTGTTGTGAATCGGATTACCGTCATGAATAAAGAGTTTTATAAACACACACATCGGCCCAGCCATGCAAAAATAGGAGCCTCCTCGCGACAGGTGAATCTTTCCTTTACTGACAAGGCAACACCGTGAAGTGTTTATCTCAAATCTTAATGGAACTAAGTTTAATTTATTCACATTCAAAAATAAGCGGACCCGTATTTTTATTCTTTTGATAATTCGCGTGGTTAAGTGCCTCGCGGGAGATTCAAATAATTCAAATTTTTATTATACAAATTGAGAATTTTTGGATTTTCAAATTGCCAAAACTTTTTAAATTTTAGCGCAAATTAGAAAATGTAAAGACGTATTTGCTTAGAGTTACTTGTTTCAGCTTTTAAAAATCTATTTTCATTTTTTTTAATTTGAATTTTTAGTTTTTGGAATTTTGATAATTTTGTATAATAACAAAACTCTAAAAAAATTTGAGATTTGTAGAAATTCGAAAAACCATTATTTTTACTGAATGCAGGAGGTAATTCTGAGAATGCTTGTTTTTAATTTTCTTATTTCACGCCAAAATTAAAAAAGTGATTTAAAAATCTGAAAATTCAGCTGACAAATTATTTTAATCTCCAGGCCGTCAAATGCGAGCATTATCGAAAAATCAAAATACGGGTCCACTTATTTTTGGATGTTACTAAATTAAAATTAGTCCCATTAAAATTGTAGATAAAGATAAACACCAAACGATGTTGCATTGTAAGTATTTAATTGTAAGCAGGCGCAAAACTCTGTTTCCGTTTAAAATCCGGCTCCATGCAGTCCATTGAAGCCCATCAGCCAAAATGCTGGCATGCTGTGACCAATTTTTGTAAGTTATGTTATCCATTACCTGTCGATAACTCTGTTTTATTTATTTATTTGCCTTATGTGTGCGTTTTTATATTTCTTGAAACAAGATAAACGATGAACACCAAACGATGTTGCATTGTGAGAGACAGACCATAAAATCAAGATAAATGACAATGAAAAGAAATTATGTATCAATGTCTGTGTCCCTATTGTATCATTTCTAAAGATTCTCGTGCACACAATGGCTTTCATGTAACGGTCATTGCGTCTTATGTCGGATCGAGACTTTATTTTATTCTGTGAATTCCCACCATACTTTGAGAACCATTCCAACCCAGTTAAACTTTTGGTATAGTCATTCGCTGAGCAAGGTTGCCAGGAGGATTTACAATTTCGAAAATTAGTGGAAATGCATTTGCGATATTTCTTTCTATTTTTCTGCCTTGGGCTAATCAGGAGTAGTTTGGGATGGAATTTATTTCCATGGACGGTTACAAGTTCACTCGGGAATTTCACGAGGGAGAAACTTTCTTCTTTGAGAAACCAACGGAATCGCTTGAAGAGTCTTGTCATTGAGGAGAAAAGGGCAGAAATAGAGAAAAAAGAGGAAAAGGTGACATTGAATTCATCGCTGGCAACTAAATTTTCAAGGAAAAATTTTGTGAAAAATTTTATACCCGTGAATGAAATAATTGAGAAAATGTCTGACAAAATTTCCAAAAGGAAGCCACAGGTGAGGAAATAAATAATATGAGACAAATGTGCCGTTTACTTATAAGAATGTGTAAAATTTGTGTATTAAAAAATTTGGCAGAGTTTTGATCCACGTCTGGAATTGGTTGACAGAATGTTGAAATCTGAAAAAATGAAAAATATTTTAAATCTATTTCCGATTGAGTTTGGAATTAAAATAAAAAAGATATTAAAGATCGATGGGTTGAAAAATAGGTAAGGGGGCTATATTTTTATTGATTGATTGATAATCGATTCTTTATAAATTAGAGATATAGATATTTATGATTTTTGTAGTCATGATGATTCTTCGGGAATTAATCTTGCCGCTAGTAGAGGAGGAGGGGGTGGATGGGGATGGGGGCAGGGGATGGGTGGTGAAATCGACGCATTCACCATTCTGGCTGCCTTAGCTTTCTTAACGTATTGACTTATTTATTTATTAAATATTGACAAGTTTTGATTTTAGAAATGTTTTGGGATATTTGCAGATTTTTAATGTCCGTGCTGGCGCAGTTGCTTGCCAGCGTAACGACCACTGTGGCAGCGGGAAGGTCGGAATTACGAGATGTCACTGAATCTCCGGTTTTACCTAGTGGGCTCGATTTGGATACAGTATCGAGAACTATTGAAGTATTGATTGAAAAATTAAAAAGTAAGGAGGTTAAATTATGGGGTGGAAATTCTTCATGGGGAAAGGGTAACAGGGCTGGGAAGGATAATTATTTTACAAAAAAAGGACTCCTAGGTTCGGAATTAAAGTATAAAAAATAAGCTCATAATTGAAAAAACAATTAAGTATAATTATCAATTCTGATATGACTAATTATTTCAAATGGTTTTTATGTTTTGTTTTTTTTTCGGGTGATTCTCATGTTTCCCCATGAGGGAAGTGTGCACCCCCACTGGAAGAAGGGTGCGCACCCTAAACTTGACACTTAAATATTGGGCTCGTTTCCTAGTAGAATTTAAAATTAAAGGGTATGACAATGGACACCCCCCCCTTAGGGGTATGGTTATTCATGCAGGGGGTGTTTACTGTCCAAAAAATAAAAGGAATATAAACACATTGTAAGGATTCTATTATTAGAAGATAAGGCCAACTGTTGCTATAACTTTTATAAAAGGTATGTATGACTACTTGTAAAGGATTAAAAAAGAATAAAATTGTAAAATTGGTAGCTTATTATTTCCGCATGAAATAAATTACGTGAAATGAATGAAGACAGTACTTTTGTTAATGTTCATCTAATTAATAGAGCTTGATGGAATTAATGTATACAAATTTCGTCTTCTAAGGATTTTGGTCATAATAGATTAAAAGTAGGGTAACATTACGTACGTTGGCAAAGAATGAATAATAATTGGTAGAATGTGCAGTAGTGAGGATATATATAGGTAAAAATTAGGAGAAGGAGGAGGAGACTCACTTTGTAGTAGTGTCAGATTGACGGCCGGGTGTTGTTGTGGGTGGGGAAATTGTCCAACGTTTCAACTTCTTGTTCTTCTTCAGGGTGAAGGACGGGAGGAATTTTGAGATGTGTTGACATCACGTGCCGAATTGTGAGTTAGTGGGACAGGAAGAAAAAAGGTGAAGGAAGACCGTTACGCGCTTTTTAACGGTCTTCCTTCACCTTTTTACCTGGTTTTACTTATTTTCATTATAATTAAAAGGTTATGGTATGATTGATATGTATGTTGTACATATTTACTAAGCAGCGTAATAAGTGGGAAAATTCGAACCGAACAAGAAACTGATGTTCGTTAAATTTGCACCAAAGTTGGATAAGTATGTGCATACGTTACAAAAATAAAGTTAAGCCGAATGCTAGATTTAAGTTGAATTATTGAATTATTGAATTTTTGTTTATGATGATAACCGTACAGTTTTGATACATGTAGCCCATAAAGATATGGAGAAATTCATAAGAATTTGAGGGCTATTTTAGACCTTAAACATACACCAACTTCAATGGCGCAGAGAAACTAAAATTTTCCACAATAATTTCTTGAAATTAAAGTTGTAATTAATAATAAGTTTAACCAGAAAACTATATCCGCAATTAATTTGACAAATTTATAAATTTTACAAAAATTAAAAGCCGTCAAGTATGTACACCTAAAATTTGAATTATATTTAGAACTCTACATAACCGCAATAAACATCATGCTTGCTTAGTAGTAACTGTGAGAGGAATTACAAGCTACCGGTTACAAATAAACTGTTACTATTCAGTTATGAATCATTAACAGTACATCGACATTCAAATGATTTTACCAGACTTGTGGACTTTATAATAATTTTGAACCTACATAATGTAGATATTATAAAACTGCAGACTTCGATAAAAATAATTTAATGAAGCAACCCACGGTCATTTTTTCACAAAATAATACAAGATTAAGCAACCTCTAAGGGCAATTTTTACTTCTTTTCTCAATAATTTTAAATCCTGGTTCTAAAAATGACATTCGCACACAGATGATCTTTGTTGAAATTTATCTATTTTAGTTTTTGCCCAGTTGGTAATCATGAATTTTCTGAACTTAAACATCATGACGCCCTGTTGAGCTTCTCATGCCGTTCATTTTTTGATGTTGAAACATAGATTAGTCAATATTATTTTTAATGTGCATAAACATGCGTAAATTTATGACGACGATTAGGAATTACTGGGTTTCTGCAGAAATTGTGGCCCTAAACCATTCAAAACCCCACTGCCTTTATCTTCTTGACGCAATATAAATTTTTTATATGTTTGTCAATTTTGCTTTTTTGCGGCAGCTTTCATGTAAACCATTATGTGGCATGATGTACTAACAAAATTGATTACCAAATAGGCTTTAGTTCATCAAAATCGCTAAAGTGGTTTTCGAGATACGGCTGTACGAGGGGGTGCCTTTATCATTTTGACGCGGACTGTATTACGGTTTGAAACGATCGACGTGACATGGCATGAATCGACATAGCATGAATGGCCATGAGCCCTTGCAAATCACAATTAATTAGGATTAATTAATTAATTAGAATGTTGGGTTAGGAATTTTATAGGTAGTCAGAACATAGGTCAAAATATTTTGCGACATTGGTCCAGAATAAAAAAAATGTTAGTTTTTAAAAATGTAAGTTTTTCTTGGTGGCTGCATGTGGGATCAGAATTATAATTGTTAATAAGTGTTTGACGTTCATTGTTTAATACTCTGCATGCAAACATGTAGTGTTGGACACTGCTCTAGAAGTGGGTACACAACGAACATCTTGTTTCAAATGCTGATAATGAGGGCTAATGTATCAATGACATAAATTTTAAAATGAATAACTTGATTGGGTGGACAAAAAATACTTTAAAAATTGAGTTTTGTCACATTTTGAACTAATAAGTTTTCATTTGTTGGTGATACTCATTTAGTGCTTGCTTGCCTACAAATATCAGTTCAAAATTTGATATTCAAGCGCGAATTCGTTTATGCTACCAATCGTCTTTTGTATTAATGTTTAATGAAAGTTGCCACGAAAATATTTTTTTGACCTATTTATTGATCTCAACGTTCACACAGCTGAACTTTATTTTATGAAATTTTGAGGTTTGGAGGCTTTGACTGATTTTGTTAAATTGATTTTTTGTCATTTATATTTACGTAATGTATCGTAAAAAATTAAACCTGTACGGTCTGATCACCAGACTCTGGTGCACAAGTTTCCTGATTATATAAAAAATTAATTGAATTTGAAATTGTATTTAAGGATGTACTGAAATCAAATATGTAAGATTTGTTTCGCAGTTACTCGTTAGTCATATTTTTAGATACAAACATAAGTAGTCAACTTTTGATTTCTATACTGAGGAGTAGAAGGTCACTACTTGTCGGGCCCCGATTTCGATCTCCTTTGGATATGTTGTAGTACTACATGAGTGTAGAAAAAGTGAAGGAGGGTTAGACTCCATGAGCCCATTTACGCCCACCACACCCCCTCAAAGGCCCCCAAACCCCTAGAGTTGCCGCACTAAAATCATCGCCAAAAATCGAGTTTTGGTCAGATTTTCAAAAAATTTACATTTTTGTGATCCCAGATAGTTGCTCTATCATACCCAATAGCAAACTCAATTTTTTTGAAATTTTCAATATTTTCGAAGATTTTCTGACCAAGGGTATGTGTTGAAAAAATTCGAAATTTCAAAAAAGTTGAGTTTGCTATTGGATATGATGGAGCAACTATCTGGGATCACAAAAATGTAAATTTCATCCAAATCTGACCAAAACTCGATTTTTGGCGATGATTTTAGTGCGGCAACTCTGGGGGTTTGGGCGCCTTTGAGGGGGTGTGGTGGGCGTAAATGGGCTCATGGAGTCTAACCCTCCTTCACTTTTTTTACACTCATGTAGTACTACAACATATCCAAAGGAGATCGAAATCGGGGCCCGACAAGTAGTGACCTTCTACTCCTGAGTGCGTCATTAATCTAAGTTAAATTTATTAGCTGCTGGGAAAAAATTCAAAGCTCCACTTGCACCAAGAGCTAAAACCATTTTCAGTTCGTTTTATCGCCATCGCAGTTTTATTGATAAACTCTTCACAAACAACACCTGGTTTCGAAATTTGGTAGATAGACAAAATTCACTTACTTATGGGGCAGTAATGTGCGCGAAACGATTTTTAATACAGAAACAGTGTTATGGTCAGATTACTCTCGCCCGTTGTAATTATCATATTTACTCTCGCATTAAAAATAGATTCCAAATTCCCGAATTTGACTTCCGAAATCGTAAACGTATTTTTTCAAGTTTTTTAGTTTTAATGAAGGTTTTTAATTTTGGCGTCAATTCGAAGTTTGACAAAACTCAAAATTTGTAAAATTTTAAAAATATTCGATAATGTACACATATTTGTCAGATATAGAGTTGGCACTTCGGCTTGGCTTGGCTTGGTAAGCTAAGCCAAGCCAAGCTGAGTCGAGTCGACCTCGAGTAAGCCGTCAACTCACTAAGCCGGCTTGCTTGGCTTGCAAGTTGAAGTGAGTTGACTTGGCTTGGCTTGACTCAATAAGCCAGTCGCCATGCAGTCCACCAGCTGCTCGCTTCATTTCTTCGCTGTAACTGCACTGTCACTGTGCAGTGAAGATGCACGTTGCAAGTTAATAAATCCTGCCTCCCATAAGGAGGTTGACTTGGCTTAGCTTAGCTTGGCTTGGCTTATTTCCGAGTGAGTCGAAGTAAGCCGAGTCATGAGCAAGCCGGCTTGCTTCAACTCACTAAGCCGGCTTGTTTTGACTCACAACTCAATAAGCCGGCTTACTGGTAACTCTAGTCAGATATCCAGATATCGTGTATCTGTAAATTAAAAAAATCAGATAAGCTCCTCTTCAAATTTTCTCTGGTTTTACCAAGAATGTATTTTCGAAATTACAAAAAAAAATGGTAGAGGCTTACAATATAGCTTTTTAAAATAAGTATGTACATAAATTATCAGTAGCAGAAATTAGAAACAATGTGAATCGTATAAATCATTCAAACGACTAAAAATAACAGGTTGTAGAATTTTGAAATGATGCCAAAATTCCAAACATTATTTGAAAATGTTACATTTTTTAAATTCTGAAAGTCAATTACATGTAAGATTAGGAAAAGTCTTACTTATGTATGTGCTTTTTACTCTGGCAGTATATGTACGTTGGCTATATATGGCCAATATTTGATGTTCCCGCTCTGTTTATAATCGCAAAATACAATCGTATACTCTTGCTCAACTTCTCTATTATCTACTAAAGTGCGCAAAAAATTTTTGCTTCCAAAGGATCATACATGCTTCCCTGAAATGTATAACCTCAACTAAGCAATTCCCATTAGTTGACAGAAAAATTTGATGCACTTCCTCTACAGGGTCGGATTTCCAAGATTTCGTAGCGTTTAAAATCGCCCACCCTCCAAAACAAGAAGTTGTCACGGCAGCGGATCCCCTCGACAACGATTTTCCCTCCCCACTGACCGCCATCACGGAGCCCGACGGCGCCCCAATCTTCACGAACCCCTGGAACATTGCCGACGTCCACGGAATACAGGAGGAGGAAGAAGTCGAAATAGAAACTAAGCACCACCCTCCGATTTTTGTATCAAGCATAAGCGATGACCCTACCACTAGGTCACATTGTTTACCGGTTGAGGAGGGGCACGATGTGTCCCCATTTATCGCGACGACCCCCACCAACCCCACATCTCCGTC